TTAGTACAGATATATTAAAGAAAATGAGACTGAAACTCACTAATCTGGACTAAGAAAGACAAATAATCATCCTGGGTAAGCTAGTTTATGAAGAACCTGCTTTTAGGATCCACAAAAGAAACTGGCTGCTCTGCAAAAGAAAAGCATAAAAATACTGGCTGAAATGAAAATTTAAGACTTATTTTTAGACCCTGGTGCATTCCAGACCTGTTTGTGAGAAAATATATGAACACCTTTACAAGTGACTGTCTACTCTAGCATTTTGATTAAAGTCATGACTGTTTCAATCCAGAGAACCTGGAAGTTATATTTGTCTTTTAAAATATTTTGTTTCCTCTTGGCAGCATGTCAATCAGGCTTTAAAGAGTCACATGGTAGATAAAAGGAATGATATAAGCTGAAAAACTGTTTTCAGTAACTACATTTGGGTTGGCTCCTAGATCAGTATCCGAACAAAGACTCAAGGACTGTGAGAATGCTTAGTGGAACTAAATTGTTTTGGTCCTGCTTCACTAGTATTGTGAAAGGCTGTACCAAGAAGTCCTGAATTATCAAGTTTATATATGTCTCCAGCTGTATGAAAACTGACTGAAATAATTTGGTTTGAATTTTCCATCTGAGAAGCCTTTCTTTATGCAATAAAAAGCAATAACACTCACTAAAAAACTGAGTCTTAATCTGTCACTGCCTGTTCTGTTTAACTATGGAAGCTTCTCTCAATCACACATTTAATGTATGATCAAGCCAAAATTCAGCTGCAGGAATTCAGCAATTATGAACTACAAAGAAAATCAGTATTTCCAAGTATCACTAATCCTGCATACTCATTTTCTATACCATCTGGGGAATTATTTTTCCCATGCTTCTGGTAGTCGCAGAACACAGGAAAAGTTCTTCAGTATGATCAACTTGTCATCAGGGAAAGGACTCACTTGTTCAAAAAATATCTTTAAGGAAACACAGAATTCACACTTTAAAGCTTCTGTATCCAAGCTTTCAGTGGTCTTGTTAAATGCTACAAAAATACCCCCAAGAGAAAAAGGGAGTGACCACTGGACTAGATTAATGGAAATTAGAAGTAAAGCACAGAGCGGCTATTACTGCTGAAGGAATATCAGTGACTTAAATCAGAGACAAAAGGGTACCCGAAATGTCAAAAAAAACCCCACCAGACACTAAGAGACATTTTTGTTACACAGATGATTTACGTCGTTTCCATTTATTTCTGCAAGTCTTTTAACAGTAAGCAGAGGAATAGTATTACTACTTTCAACTTTAGATTCCCAAAGAGTTTCAATTACATAGAAAGCATCTTGACAGAGCTAAGACATCCAAAAGAATGTGAAGTTTCTTACAATGAGAAATAATTTAAACCAGTAGTGTAATTTTAAGGCAGAACTGAAGGCGAAGTTATAGCATATCAGAAGTCTTACTTGCAGGTAAAGCTCCTCTCCTTTACATAATTTCAGGTAGTTTGTCCCAGTCCTTGCTAGTCCACAAAAGATGGTAAAAAAGGCATTGGTGGGCATATACATTTTTAGATTTACTGTAAATCATTTAGTTTCCCATTTGATGCTGTTTAAATAATATTCTGTGGCTCAAACTGTCACAGTGCTTTTGTTCAACTGCACAGGAGGTAATATCCAGTTGCTGGGGCAGGTATGATAGCAGAAAATCAAGGAGTGATGTTTCATGGGAACACCAAAGCTCCTTGGCTTCTCCAATCCCCTTCAACTCCTCCCTTCAGGTGAGGCAAAGACATGACTCTTCCCAAACCATAACACCTCAACTATTATCAGACTATTACTCCTCCACACTGGCTATGACACATCCAAATCAGAAGGCTCTGTGTATTTCATGGGAACAGAAACAACAGTTGCTTTGATTTTGAAACTAGTTCAAAGTCGTCTACCAAGGCTCCAAAATTATATATCCCTTCCAGTAAAAATGGCTAAGTCAAAAATGTTATTCTGTGTTTTAAATTCTAATAAATGTTTTCATTGACAGAAAACAAACACAGCAAATGACATACAGCCTGCCATCCAGTACTACAGAAACCTACACACCACCCCATGGAAAAGTTATCTGTAGAGAATTCAGATTTTTGTCTTCGAGTGCGTGTGTCACCCCCTCTTATGAAGAAAAGAAATAAACAAACAGTTACAGAAATATTTTTGAAGCATCTAGCTTGCAGCAAATCTGATCACAGTTGCAGAAATGGGGCTTCATCATTTCCCAAATCACTTTGGTACACTGGATCAAGGTAAGCTTATCTTTTTGAGAACCTATTTCTAATTCAGCAAAAACTTCAAGTTCCAGCTAAAATACACCAATACTGGTGAACAATGCTCAGCAACCATTTTGAAATAAATAAACCCAGTTATTTCTAGCCAAATATGCTCTGTAAATAACCTCACAAAAATACAGTGTTTGGGATATGAGTTCTTCTCTCCTGCTGTTCAGGTGAGAATCAGGAAATTTCCTGAGAAGAAATTCTTTCTATTGGATTAGTATGTTACCACTGAGTACTTACGTTTTCCAAGTGGTAAAAAAAATTACCAAAATCTTAAGTCCTGACAAGTTCCAAGGATCTTGGATATATGGCATTTAATTAATATATGGCATTTTTTTCTTTCATTTCTTGAACAGCCATTATATGAAGACAGCCCTCACAAGCTCTTGATTATTCTAGGAATAATACACACACTAGTGCATTTTGGACAGATGCACCACTTCTGTCCCTCACCACACACGTGTGAGAGTTGACATAGAGCTATACTATTACTTGTCTTGTTCAGAGTATTTAATGAATTCAACTACATAAACTTCTCTTGTTGCCCAATGATCCAAATACTATCAGTAACTGGATAAGAAATAGCTGCACATATTTTAGTACCTCAGGAAGAAACAAGTTCATTAGGATTTGGACATTTTTAAAACTCAACAAACAACTGAACAACCTAGTCTGAATTCAGCAATGACCCAGTTACAGGCAGCAGGGGCTGGACTAGGCGACCTTCAGAAGTCCTTTCCTTTCTGGATTTAGCTGGTCTGTCTGTAGTCTGACAAAATCCTGACAGCAAACAACTGTACAGCTACTGAATGATTTATCTGGAGGCTGAAGTTGAATACCAAAGTGTTCAAATGACTCCACTGGAAAAAACAGCTATCCCCCTTCACGAATGCTTTAGCCTAAAGAAGTAACTGGGTTTGGTTTACAAACTGCCACTTTGTCACAAAAAGTGTATGTATAGTTTTACTTCAAAAATGTTAAAAACAGAAGGGGTAAGCAGCAGTAAGTATGGTTTTACCTGAAAGGTGTGGTCACATAATACTGTGGGGGTTTAGCAGCAATTCTAAATAACTCCTACTTTGCCCCATATCCCACCCCATAATCCTATCCTATGATTTGCATCAGTACAAGGTTTGCAAGGAGCAAGGACACATTTTTATAAACTCCCTTTGTAAGGGATGGGGAAGTTAATCTGATACAGTTGAATGCATCAAACCCTACTTTGTAGCACAAAAACACTGCACAAGGAAGATGAAGGGTAATATCTGCTAGGACCAGTAAACCAGGAACACAGAACTGGAGAAAGGGCATGGAGAAAAAAAATTTCTTCTCATGTGCAGCATTAAAGTTCCAGTCTTACCAGATCATACCACAAGTTTGAAATGTGCAAGTGCTACTTTTTGCTTTTAGTTTAAGCAGCCTTTTTCCAGTAGGAAAAATTTGGAAAACATTCTACTGACTACCATAATTTCAATGCACATCAACTGCCTAAGGAGTGACAGGTTTATTTAAAAAAAAAAAATCTGGGGAGTAAATGTTTTTATTTTCAACAGCAAATTACTTCTGTTTCTTCTGAAAGTAATTTTTTTTTCTGAAGGGAAGAAGTTAGTCTTATAACTCACCTGAGCTTATATTTGTTTCTAGTGACAGTATCATAAATCCTATCTGGATTAATAACCTAAAGGAAAACTGTATATCTATATCCATCTCTCCTCTTCTAAGGCCATAATTACAGACAGGAAAGGTTTAGGCTGGTATTTAGAGGGCTGATGAGTTCTCCAAGAAACTGGCAGCCTACAGGCTGGTGCCTGGTTCACTGAGCAAGTGCCTCACACGAGCAAGCCTCAAGTGGGAGAATAGTCTATACTCACTTTCTTTGAGGGACTCATCCCATAAAGGCATACATACATACACAGATTTTATCACACTTCACCACCTGTATATAATTAAGAGGACTTTTTTTTACTGTTTTATAATCTTAGATTGAGTAGCTTAAAAAATAAAAAAAAAGAACAGGTTTTACTGGGTATAGCTGGGTGTGTACTCTCCAAATTACAGTGCATTGTAGTGTAGTCATTCATAGACAGGCTACCTTTGCAGCTAGTTAGATTGCCACACTTGGTTAAAAAAACCCAGCACATAATCTACCAGAGCACATCTGAATCCCTATAATACAGTTACAGAATGTAGTTTCTAGTCATGAGATTTGAGCAGCAGCCTACAGACTAGATGAGAGATTCATCCCTGCCCTTGCTACTAATCAGTCTGAGTTTAATTAGCAGCTCAAGCAGTAGTCTCACCTTCAATTATGTCCTCCCCTTTCTAGAAACCACAGAGTTGTGCTAAAATTAGGTTGAACAAAATATGTTATGTCCTGAAATAAGGACTCATTCCCATTGGGGTAGCATGCAGTTGCTTATCACAAGAGCATTGTACCTGAGCACTCTATTTTTCCCTCTTTCAAGTAATTTTAGTTGTAATTTCACAAAATCCTATAATAGAACCAAATATAAGTAATATTTAATATTGATTTTCATAATAGCACCACATCCTGTATTAGCAATTTACAATTTAGACAGCATTGTATTTAACACTGACATATAGCTCTGTACTACCCTAAAAGTTGTGTCAGAAAGTACCTTAAGTATGATACCTTAATTTTAAGAAACTAGTTAAGTGGTAATATTGCAGTGAAAAATTCTCTTACCAGAGTTTGATGACATAACAGCTTCTTTGTGAGAAGGTGTTTTAATAGTGCTGATAGTTTTATTTTCACATCCTTTCTTCAAGGTCGACACAGATGGCACCATTTTAACCTTGGGAGTTAATACACTTCGTAGTGTGATTTGATCTTTCTTTGGTATGTTTTTCCCTTGTGCTGTTCCATCTTTCACAGAAGGCATCTGTTTTAAGAAAAAACAGAAAGCAAAAAGCCAACGACAATTCAACCCACACACCACCACTGTGAGAAACTAAAGATCTCCCTCTGCAGCATCTGCAATGAAATACTGACCACCCAAGTAGGAAACATGCTTAGTCTTTATGCCACTGTCAACATCTGCAGTTCAGAACCTCAAGAACAATCTCCTGAATGGCCTTCAGCAATGCAAACCCATTAGTCTGAAGCTAATCACTAGTAATGACCAACACACTAAAAGGAGGTTACAGAGGTCATCAGAATTTCTTCCTCCCCAAACTCTAATTAAACCACTCAATTACATGACTACACCCACTCCCAAGACCTTAACCGACGAACTACACACGTTCACGGCCCTGAAAATTTAGTTGTCCTGTACTACCTGAAATGTCACAGTCCTTGTAATTAGCTTCCTGATCTAGGTCTTATGTCACAGCAGCTTAAAATCCTTCACATTGAGGTGCCATAGACAAAACATAAGTGCAGGAGTAGATCCAGGACAGTATAAAATAACTGGTTTATATGTGTGAAACTGGTTTATATATGTTTCACACAGAATTCTTGCTCCAGTTTATACAACCTTTAGTTCACAGCCACTCCTGTCAAGCCTATAAAGACACACTTGACAGTTCAGCTCTTCATGTGCTTTTCTGTGACTCAAGCTGACTGCAGCAGTTCGGTCAGAGTACCAAATTTTTAATTTTCAATGACAATCCTCATGTTCATTTTCAGATGTTAATTTGTACTTTTCCACTTAAGAAGACCATTCTTAAATTTAATCCAGCTGATATGTCTACTGTGCATTTTATAGAAATTTCTCTATTGCTTCTCCAGGTACAAGCAGAACAATTAAAATCACAAAGTTTTCCTTTTTGGCAAGGGAATGAATTAAAAGCACTCTCTCCAACTCTTCACACCAAAAGTAAGGACTGACAAAGAATGCAAACTCTTAAAGACTGTAGAATTAAAATAGACCATCCTTGCTTTCATGCTTACTTAGGTTTTCAAGTTAAATTATTAGCCAAATAATAGTACTTTTTACTTTCTTGTGCAATGTTTCAAAAATGTTCTAAGCAGCTTCTCCCATATACTGAGCTTCACTGAAATTTTTCTGGCAAATTAGTAAGGCCTGTCAAAAATTCAGACAACAGTTTTACCAGTAATAGCTGCTGCCTCCATTTCACCAATTTAACGTAAGCTATTGAATCCACAAGCCAGTAACAAGAGAGACTCCAAAAAGCACCCAGACTGTGTTCCTACTACACCTCCTGAAATCCTCGTCAACCCAATTCGGACAGTCTTCCCTCCTTTCCCCTTCTCCTTGCCTTTTAACCTTCTTCCAGTGCATCTGAAAGCAGCATGTTTCTCCTGACAGGCAGCTGACTCATCCCAAAATATTTCCCAACCAACCAGCACATGCATACCTCCCGGCCAGGAAGTTTGCACCTTCCAGCTGGCTGACTGCCTAAAACCAGGTATATGCCCTCTGCATGAGAAATATTTCCTGACTACTCCCAACTATTCTAATGAGTCCCAGCTCTACTTCAAACAAATAAACTCCTAAATTATACAAAGGAGACAGTGAAATTAAGTTGTTAAAAATAAAATGTTTCACCAACTTATTGGTCTTTGGGTTTTGTGTGACTTAATGTTACTGTTCATATAAGCACAACATTTACACGACTAATTTTTAAAAGTCTACTTTAGGTCTAAAGCACATTTTGAAAGAAAATTTCCAAACCAGCACTTTATCTCTACTGTCTATTTGAAGTTACAGCACCACTAGAACAATCTTGAAGAAATGTACATTAAAAGCTGTATTTAGAAAACCTCACCAAGTTATGCTAGGCAATTTTACAAGATGGACTAAACTAAGACTTGTTTGCTTTTATTAGACTTCTTACAAACTGTATTGTCTTAAAAAAAGGCTTTACTAAAAAAAATTGTGTTATGGAACAAGATGAAGGTGGAGACACTAAACTGCAGTTGAAGCCAACTGCAACTAATCTGTAAAACAATACTTCTTCAGTGCCTTTACTAGGGAGAGACTCCATGTAGAAATCAACACTACAGCTACATTTGCAGACACCAAACCCACCCCATAATTTTCACACTGTGCAATACTGAATTTCCTTTTCTGCAAATGTACAAAACATACAAGTAAGCATGAAAGCAAAAAAACTTACCAAAGGAACAGAGTGCACTTCAAATGTTTTGTTTGCTGCATCTTTTACCCATGTGTCTTCCAGAAGCACTCCCATGTTGCTGCTTTGTTCTTCTTCACCTTTGGTCAGGTCAATGTTTTGAGAACAAGGTGTCATTAAGGAGTTGGAACTTTCCATTTTATCATTTAACATCTCTTTTGAGCTCTCTGTAGGTGCTGGAAGCGCAGCAGAAGCCAAGGAGCACACCGGATGGGTAGCACTTGCTTTGTCAATGTCTTGCAGACTTAACTTTAATGCAGGTGTTTTTGAAACCTTGTGGGAAGCATTTCTGGGATCTGCTGTGGCATGATCGACTTGGCTAGTGAAAAGGTGTTTGTTAACATGTAGCTTATGGGGCTTATTTACAGGCAATTCCACCTTAGCATCTTTAGCTGGATCTACTGTTTTTTTCAGCCCTTTTATAGAGGAGGACAATTGCCTTGGGGAACCAACCCTTGAAGGTGAGGAGACAGATGATAGTTGACGGGACTGGGGAGACTGTTTTAATGCTGCACTGTCTCTTGGCTGTGGCACAGATCTAGACACAACCTTTGGCTTAACATTTTTAAAATTAGGTTTGGGAAAACTAACTATCTCTGATTTCCTTGCTTTGGTTATTGTTGATGCAATAGGAGACCTGCCCATTGATTTTCTTGCAGTTTGATCTGAAGTAGCTTTGAGCCCAGGCCTGCTACACCCTCCTACAAATGCTTCACTTTGTCTTAGTCTAGAAGACTTGTCTCCAAGTTCTTCCAAAGCTGAAACAGAAAAAGTCCTATTTTTTGATTGTTCTTTAGGAGTTGAAGTACATAGAGATGAATTGCTTTTATCAGCTGTTGGACTGAAGACTAAAAAAGTTGCTTCGCATTTCAGCTCAGGCATAACTGTCTTCTTTAATTTTGGAACACTGCAAGATACAGAAGGAATGTTGTGCATATTCTGAAGAGCAGCATTTCCAGAGATACTTTGTTCTTTGGTTAAAGGGTCACTAGTTTTGTTTGATACTTGTTCCCCATCCATTTGATCTACTGGGAGAAGGTGCACACTATTTACAACAATATCCATGCATGTTTCAGCACTGGAATTCCCAGTTTTTTCATGGAAAGGAGAAATCTGCAAGGATTTCACTTGGTCATCCTCATTAATATTAATGCATGGTGATAATGCATCTAGCTTATAAGGATCTATACATCCAGCAGGTAGTTCTATAGCCTGCGCTTCTGTTTCCTGTGATTCATTATCATTTTTGATAGCGTTTTTTTGATAGTGTTCAAGACCTGCAGAGGTGAAGTCAGACGTTCTTTCTGAGCTGGTTCTATCAAATTTCTCTGAGATAGATACTTCAGAAGAGACCAATGTTTCCCCCAGATGCATGTCATCTTTTTGATCAGTTCTCAGATTTTCACCTGTAACATTAGTCACATCCAATGTGCTCAGCTGGCAGCATGCCCTGTCATTTTCCAGGGACTGCATGTTCTCCTCTGAAGCAGGAAGAGTTAGTACAGACTTAGAGTCAGTCTGACTGTAAGGCACTGAGTGTTTGATACTCTGATTTTGCATTTTTGCCATAGCAAAATCATCTTTCACTAAGCTTGTTGTTGCTTCCAAGCCACAGTTCAAAGAACACATACAAGTCTGCTCAGTCCCAGAAGACTTGTGTGCAGCATCTGTATCTCCCGATGGAGCTCCTGTGCAGCTGTGTTTACCAGGTGTGTTCTGCAGATCAAATACTTCAACACACTGCTGTTTTAAAAGACTTCTGAAGTCGCCCTTATTTTCAAAAATGGTATCACCCTCATGCTCAGCCCCTATATTTTGGGCAGTTGAATTACCATGTATCTTGGTGGCACAATTCTCTGAGGAAGGTGTACCTCTGTCACATGCATAGCTATTTCCATTTTCATCCCTTATAAGTAAGGAAGACTTCAACCCATTCTTTGCTTTGTCATTGCATGTTTGTTTCCCAACATTCATTTTGAAAGAAATTTTAAACCGTTTTCATTTTAGAATTCTTTAAAATCTCAGAGAATGCAGATACTTCTGAACTTTGCAGGAAAAAAAAAAAAACAACTTCTTTTCCCTGGAATGTGTCAATTGTCCTAAAAGATATTTAAAAAGCAGTTCTTTGTTTTCACGTTTCCCAAGAAGATTCAAATGTTCTGGAATCAAAAAGAAATTTTTAAAAGTTAGCCAAACCAGGATTTTAAGACAGTAAGCATTCTCAAGTTCCTAGTCTTCAGACATCAGAGCAGCAACATAGAAGCAACATTCAGAATCCCAGCAAAGAAAAACTTCAGTCTTCACCCCTTGATGCAGAGCACCTAGAGACTGTGCTCTGCACTGAAGGCCTTTTTCCTGACCTTCATGGCAGGAATGCATAGCAGAGGCAGCTGAAGATTTTGGAAGAGTTACTTAAGACATTTGAGTTGAAACAGAGAAGAGAGGGAGGTTTGTGATCAGTTCTGGGGCTACAGCAGTACACTGCCCCATGCTGGTGGGGCAGTCAAGTGTAGATGCACAGAGGACCCCTTCAGAGTCACTGGAAAGCAATTCCATATCAGTTAACTGCCTCCATCTTCTATAAAGATGAGCCGAGATTAGCCAAATGACAAAACAATTCCAATGTCCTCTCCAGCAGAGCAGAGCCATATACCCTCACCCAAAACCCAATGGAAAGGTAAAGGGGTGGGACTGACATGGACAGATGATGGAAAACAACTGACCACACATGGAGTGGAGATTCATGTACAAAAAACAGCACAGAGCCCTTGCAACATACAGTGACAAGCTCCTAACAAGCACTAAGACTGCACCTGAGTACCAAAACCACAAAGATGTGAATGAGAGAGAAGATCAAACTGTCCAAAGCAGCTGGATGACCTCTGTAGCACTCCATATGAAAGGCTCCTAGTAGCAGAAATGAGACCAGAGGCAGGAAGAACCTCAGATTTATAACATATGGTTGCAGTGGATGGGGAATCTGCCAGAAGGAGGCTTTCAGAGCAATTAAAACCTGAATGGGTGGGAAGACGTTCAATGGATCTGACAAGGCAGTCTGGCTGAAGATGCATTCATGGACAAAGGTCAGCTTTCCAACTGAAGAAAATGAACACCTTGAACACTTTCACCTGCCTGGAACGACAGACTATATTCTCCAACCAAAGAGCAGGAAGGAGGACACTTGTCATCAAAAACAATGAGCAAACAGGTCTCTGGTGTTTAAACAAAAATGCAGACTGATATCAGAGTGTGGTGTCCTCAAACAAGGACACTGATCTAATGACATATTTGAAATTTGGTGCAGCAGTACATGTGCATCAGGATTAAGTATGGACGGTGGGCAGAATAACTGATAATTCACATAAGAATTATATTAAAGTCCAAAATTATTTCACTGTTTCAACTATGGTGACAATACTGGATGCAATACAAGACAGTTGCAACAAAATCAGAAAATATTATAATAATACTGATAATACTAATATTAGATTTCTGGTATAGCAATGTTGATTAGGAACATTGAAGAATAATTCTGTAATCATATTTTCATAGAGACTTCTTTGGGAAACAAGTTTGTTCTGAGAAGCAACTCTTGATTTGTTCTTTAAGAAGTATGTTTGAATCCTCACAGAAACCATATAAGCCATTCTGGAAACCACAGCAGGGGAAAGAAAACAAACTCTCATGCACAAATACTTCGGAAAGTGTAAAATGAAGCCAGCACACTAAGTAGGGAACGGTAAGTGATTTCTTGCATTATTCAAAATGCAAGAATTTTTTTTTAAAATTCTTGCAAAAAATTTTTCTTTAAAACTTTCTTTGTTCAGCTGGAAACACAGCTTGAGTGACTACATTCAAAATAAAGCCTTTATCACACTAATGAGAAGTATAAAGCTGCAGGGTCCATAAATAGTTTTGAGAACAAAACAGCAACATCCAAATTAAGACTACTACAGAACTTGAAGAATTTGTCTGCTCACTATGAACCAAACACAGAGTGAATTCTGGTCAATAACCCATTTTCTTTACATGGTACTTTGAACATCTGACTCAGATTGAAGGTAAAAAGACCATGAAACAAGAAAAAATAAAAAGCTACTGAGATCAGACAGCACACCTTGCTCTGCCCCCCCTCCCATCCCCAAGATGAAAAGACTTGTCTAGTTAAAACATCTCCTGCTTCTAGGCTGATCTAGATCTTTTCCTTACTGACTATTATACAATCCCTAAAGAAACATAAACAACTGTAGTACCCTCACTTTCACCTTTAATTAGGAAACTTAAGGCAGATTGAAGAGTTCTTTAAAAAGTCTTCCCTGAAGGCAGGGCAAGAATCTGTTCTGAATAATTTTCCATTAGTTTAAGTCAATCACAGAATCAAGTGCTGAAAAATATTTGCAAACTTTGCTTTCACTGTTGTTTTGACACATTGAAACTTGTTTCTGCTTGTCTGGATACTAGCCCTTAACTCAGCTTGCTCACCTAGTCATGCAACAAAAGTTAAGATTCCATTTTGTTTCAGCAGTAGCTCAGATCAAACCAGAAGTCTCACCTCTTTCAAGAGTTTTCATTCTGAAGAAAATAGGCAATTTCAAGACTTAGCAAGAATAAAATCCCAAGAATTTACAGAATGTTGCATTACCTTACAGTACATGGTAGTAAACAATGCCAAAATTTGAAACAACACAGGTACTTAAGTAAAGCTTGATTCAACTGATGCTGAAGAAACTCCAAAAAGTAAAAGCAGATTTGATACTGAGTAGAGAAATGTGGAAGCACAATAAAGTTGCACATACCAAGGTGGACATATACACATGTAGGTCTGTTACTCAGTGCTCTGGACTTTCACATAGCCAGAGCACATGTAGAAATCAATTACTAATTCAACTATTTTTAAAGCAAGCCTTCACTACATTAATCAATACTTTCATGAACAAGTAGACCGGCTTCACATCCACATTTAGAGGCCTGAAAGCATCCTACATAAAAAGAGAGACATTCCTAAGGATCAGCTATGGTATTTAAAAATCTGATGAACATTACTCCTTAAAGAACTGACATTCTGTAACTTTCATATAACAAAGAAATTCATTAGTTTTAGATCTGCCATATAAGACTGAATGAAAAATTACCCTCAGCCCAGCATCTCCTCCATGGTGGGGAGTCAGTAGCAGAAACACAGACATAACAAGTTGCCCTCGCCGAGAACACACTGTTCCTGGCAACTAGTCACTGGAGGAATTCTCTAAACTAAATACTAATAAATTTGCTTTGACTTGGTCTTACATCAAGCATTATGAATGCCTGGCCTCCACAACACACTACAGTGCAGTGCAAAACAATTCAGTCTGGTTTTGCCTTCAGTAAAGCTCAGCTTACCAAATTTCAGTTGTGTACCTCCAGTGCTTACACACAGCAGAAAAAGTCTTCAGTACCTGAGCTCAAAGTTTTCCCCTTCCTCAACTGAAATAAGAGCTTGGGGTAACAGCAGGACCACTTGGAAAACAAAAACAAAAAACCCAAACCAAAACAAAACCAAAAACAAACTAAAACAACAAAAAAACCACAACAAAAGAAGCTTGGCAAGTAGGTTCTCCTAAAAAGAGGAGGGATTGGCTGCCAAGTGCCCCAGATCCAGGAGAAATACACTAAATACACCACAACATACAGAACTGGGCTCAGAGCAAGATCTTGTCACTTCTACTAACCAACAAAAGGCGTCCAGGGGTGTGCTGTTAAAGGGCAGGGGAATAGTCACTTGTTCAGGGTGAGGTAAACAGGAATCAAAACCAAATAATTACAATACATAATTGGACTCACAGGTTGACAAATTACTACAAGAACTCAAGTTAGTTTGTGTTAGTGTCACAATGCAGACGTTAATAATTTTTCACTTTTCCCGGTACTCCATCTGGAACTTGATTCTTTCAAGAAAATCATCACAGAGCATTTACTCAAACCCATCAGCTGTTTGTGAAGCCTGCACGAAGGGGGGACGTGGGGTGGGGAATAAATCTGAAAGGAGAGGGCATGCCCAGACATGCAGGGAGGCTGTCCAGAGTGCTCTAATTAACTGAACATGCTTTGATACCCTGCAAAATGCAGCATCAGCATTACCTCACCAAACCATATTATATGGTCATGACTACCTGAAATTAAAAACCATTCAAAGCATTTCATATGTTAATGCATTACACTACAACCAGCTTACTTGCTCATGTCCTGGAACACAACACAAAAACAGAAGTATGACTTTTCAGCACATACACCTGAAGTCAGAGATGGCATCACCCACAGCAACCAGGCATCCCTCCCAACGTGCTGTTCAGTGTTGCTTGAATATGCCCCATAAGAAAGCACTGGGAAAACACAAAATGGTTCAGGCAATGTTGCATTTACACAGAATTGCAAATTTCAGAGCTCTCTCTGCTGCCTCAGTAATGTCACATTCTAATGTAAACTAGCCTATTGCCAAGCTAATTCAAACTATTCTAGAGAGGATTAAGTTAAGCTCCGATAACAACTTCACACAAACATTTATAACATTACAAGTACAATCTACTCCTAAAAGTGGATTACATTAAGTTCTCATATACTCATGGCATTGCTTGCTTCAGAAGTCACACAGTATCATCAGTGAGTTTACTGAGAAGATGTTTATAAAAGAACAAAAAACCCCAACAAACTATCAAACCAAAGACAAACCCACCCCACAGGGTAGCTAAGCAATATCTGTACACTTCAGTAAACAACATTTTAGAAGTCAGAAACCATGTTAGACACTTGATACAGTAAGCAGAAATAATGCACAAGCTATGTTTGCAAGCAATCATGCAGGCATTTTTGATTGAAGGAGTTCTATCACTTCCAAAGGCATAAACCATCAGGTTTGGCCTTCTACTGGGCTATTTGCTAGTCTGTTTCAAGAGTGAAGCAGCAGCATAATATAAAAGTTACAGTAATCAAGGAGCATT